AAGTCTCTACGCCTTCTCCGGCATTGATGTAAGAAGACTAACTGTAAGTCTTTGCAAACTTTTTTTGCAAAATCTCCAAAAAATACAGTCATTGTAGAGGCAATAGGTAGCAGTCTTTGCTGCCGACTGAGGGGAAGGCTTTCTTACTGCTATCCCCTCAGGTGCCGAGTGAAGGAGAAGCGCAAGTCTCTATGCCATCTCCGGCATTGATGTAGAAAGATTAACTGTAAGCCAATCTCTTTTTTGCAAAACCTTTAGAAAATGCAGTCATTGTAGAGGCAATAGGCAGCAGTCTTTGCTGCCGACTGAGGGGAAGGCTTTCTTACTGCTATCCCCTCAGGTGCCGAAAAGTGAAGGAGAAGCGCAAGTCTCTATCCCTTTTCCTGCATTGATGTAGGAAAACTAACTGTAAGTCTTTGCAAACTTTTTGCAAAACCTTCATAAAATGCAGTCAATGTAGAGGCAATAGGCAGCAGTCTTTGCTGCCGATTGAGGGGAAGGCTTTTCGACTGCTATCCCCTCAGGTGCCAAATGAAGGAGAAGCGCAAGTCTCTATGCCTTCTCCGGCATTGATGTAAGAAGACTAACTGTAAGTCTTTGCAAACTTTTTGCAAAACCTTCAGAAAATGCAGTCATCGTAGAGGCAATAAGCAGCAGTCTTTGCTGCCGACTGAGGGGAAGGCTTTTCGACTGCTATCCCCTCAGGTGCCAAATGAAGGAGAAGCGCAAGTCTCTATCCCTTCTCCGGCATTGATGTAGGAAAAGTAACTGTAAGTCTTTGCAAACTTTTTGCAAAACCTTCATAAAATGCAGTCATTGTAGAGGCAATAGGCAGCAGTCTTTGCTGCCGACTGAGGGGAAGGCTTTTCGACTGCTATCCCCTCAGGTGCCATATGAAGGAGAAGCGCAAATCTCTATGCCTTCTCCGGCATTGATGTAAGAAGACTAACTGTAAGTCTTTGCAAACTTTTTGCAAAACCTTCATAAAATGCAGTCATTGTAGAGGCAATAGGCAGCAGTCTTTGCTGCCGACTGAGGGGAAGGCTTTTCGACTGCTGTCTCCTCAGGTGCTAAATGAAGGAGAAGCGCAAGTCTCTATGCCTTCTCCGGCATTAATGTAGAAAGATTAACTGTAAGTCAATCTCTTTTTTGCAAAACCTTTAGAAAATGCAGTCATTGTAGAGGCAATAGGCAGCAGTCTCTGCTGCCGACTGAGGGGAAGGCTTTCTTACTGCTATCCCCTCAGGTGCCGAGTGAAGGAGAAGCGCAAGTTTCTATGCCTTCTCCGGCATTGATGTAGAAAGATTGACTGTAAGTCAATCTCTTTTTTGCAAAACCTTTAGAAAATGCAGTCATTGTAGAGGCAATAGGCAGCAGTCTTTGCTGCCGACTGAGGGGAAGGCTTTTCGACTGCTATCTCCTCAGGTGCCAAATGAAGGAGAAGCGCAAGTCTCTATGCCTTCTCCGGCATTGATGTAAGAAGACTAACTGTAAGTCTTTGCAAACTTTTTTGCAAAATCTCCAAAAAATACAGTCATTGTAGAGGCAATAGGTAGCAGTCTTTGCTGCCGACTGAGGGGAAGGCTTTCTTACTGCTATCCCATCAGGTGCCGAGTGAAGGAGAAGCGCAAGTCTCTATGCCTTCTCCGGCATTAATGTAGAAAGATTAACTGTAAGTCAATCTCTTTTTTGCAAAACCTTTAGAAAATGCAGTCATTGTAGAGGCAATAGGCAGCAGTCTCTGCTGCCGACTGAGGGGAAGGCTTTCTTACTGCTATCCCATCAGGTGCCGAGTGAAGGAGAAGCGCAAGTCTCTATGCCTTCTCCGGCATTGATGTAGAAAGATCAACTGTAAGTCAATCTCTTTTTTGCAAAACCTTTAGAAAATGCAGTCATTGTAGAGGCAATAGGCAGCGGTCTTTGCTGTCGACTGAGGGGAAGGCTTTCTTGCTGCTATTCCCTCAGGTGGCAAGTGAAGGAGAAGCGCAAATCTCTATGCCTTCTCCGGCATTGATGTAGGAAGATTAACTGTAAGTCACTCTCTTTTTTGCAAAGTCTTCAAAAATACCGTCATTGTAGAGGCAGTAGCAGCAGTCTCCCGTTGCGAAGTAAGGGAAAGCCTTTTGACTACTTCCCCTCGGGTCCCGTCGACTAAGGAAAATTGGTGTTATCTTTTTTCCTTAGTAGCCGGCATCTGAGGTGTCGTCAGCTTCTCCCTTAGTGTTATGTGCATTTCTATTGTGAGTGATCTTCTTTTATGATTTGTTTGGAACCTTACCTTTGTACTCGAGGTAGCTATCGCCGGTTTTTTCTGAAGAGAATTGCTTGAATAGGATCACGAAGGCTTTCATGAAGTGTTTGGAATAAAGACTTCTTGGAGTTGACGTAAAGAATTTACGTTGCGGTATGATCGTATTGTAAGAGAAAAAGGAGCACTGGAAATTTTTCTTTTCGTAATCATCAGTAACCCGAAGCAGTTGCAAACACGTGAAAGTAATGCAATGATGCAAATACCGCAGTGCAAATTCTTCAAGTTCATATCCAAAACGATTGATATGTTTCAGGTTTTGAACGCTACTTTCACAGCACTCTCAAATAAATATTTTCATTGTTTTTTAAAGACTTAGAGTTAGACATTGTTGACTTGAAGTGATATGATCGTGTTATCATTAAGCATCCTTCCGATAAAGAGCTTTTCATACACCGAAAACTAAAAAAAGTATGACAGTCCGGCGGAGTTCTCAAGTTCATATCCAGAACGATTGATATATTTCAGGGTTGAACGCTACTGTCACAACACTCTCAAATAGATAATTTTACTGTTTCTTAAATACTTAGAGTTAGACATTGTTGACCTAGGGTGATTTTATCGTGTTATCATTAACACGTTGACGACCAAGCCATTTTTGACCACATCAAGATCGACTGATGATCTACGGCTGCGGTTTGGACTGTTCAACAGCTAGCGCAATGCCGTGTGTTCCATATGACAACCAAGCCACAAGTGTTATCACTGCATAGAAGTTACCTAAGAACTTTTCGTTTACACGTGATAAATTGATGCACGAAAGTGCTAAAAGGTGGTCTGGGCGTGCATACGCGCGGATGCACACGGTCGTCAACGTGTTAAGCATCCTTACGGAAAAGAGCTTTTCATACACCGAAAACTAAAAAAAGTATGAGAGTCCGGCGTAGCCGGACGATCATACTGGTTTTTTATGAACCAGTAGCAAACACGGTGATAAGCAGTTAACAAAAAGCATTTTTCTACAAGAAAAAAATCCACATCTTCTGGCTTGAACTTTATAACTATACAATCATGCAGACCTGTTTGGTGAACATCAGTCTCCTGGACAATAGACTTTTTATTAGCAAGGAGGAACAGTAGAGAAAGTGGAAGGAAGCACTTAGTTCACTGCCACACATTCGTTTAATTGTGCAGCATGTTTGGTAGACTCTTTCAAGCTCCCTCCAGCTATGGAGTAATTTAACGTCTTACCTTTTTAGGCTTTCGAGACAATGTTATAGCATGACGGTGGTCTAAGAAATACTTTGTAGCTGTGGTTTCTTTCGCACCTCAGTGTGATAGCTTATCAAGTGTGTTGCTCCATTGTTATTTTTTTTACTTTATATTAGTTGACATTGTAAAGATGATGTCCGATGGGTTTTTTCCAAATTAGAATGTTTCATTACATGCAGCCATGAATTTCGAGCACCTGAAGTGTAAGATTAATCAAGGGGTTGCAAACTCGGGGTTAGACAATACCCTAAAAATCCCGCCAGTAAGTCCGGCCTTATCTGCATTTTTTGACATGAAAAATTGATAAAAAAAATCGCCCTCTGCGCTGCCAGAAGTCTAGCAGATCTGCTGCGGTCTGATGAGGAGGATTCATCTACTAGACCTCTGGCAGCGCAGAGGGCGATTTTTTATTAATTTTTCGTGTCAAAAAATGCAGATAAGGCCGGACTTATTGGCGGGATTTTAGGGTAATTCAAATGCAAGCTTCCAGAACTCCACTTTCACTATTACATATTTGAGAGTATGCCTGCAATATGCCTGCAATTCTTCGAGTTTCGACAAATATATTCCCTTGAAAGGCAGCCTGATGCCAAATTTACAGTGGCCATGGTTATTTTAATTCCAAGAAAGACACATTTACCAAAAACCTAAATAAGGGTTTTTGCAACCTATTTCGTGAAACATGCGCCACAGAACACTTTTCAAATCGCACATTTAACGCTCATAACTCCTACCAGATGGCAGATAATAAGCACTTGTGACCAGCGTTTCAAGACGAGTCAGATGATATACAGCATGTTTGGTAAATTTGAGTTGAGTTCTAACCATTCCATGCTTAGCTTTGATTGACAAGCAAGAACAACCTCTCTTAAGATATATGAGTACCTTCGCTCATCTGTGCATCGCTATTTGACAGTGGCTCAGGTGGTACTCCAGAGATTTAAAACAAATGAATTTATGCACATACCCGTGTAAATTCCGCCCGTGTAACGGTTGCATGACATATGCAAGTGTGAACAGATTACTGATATGAAAAGTTGAATTCCTGCAATTTCATCCTTTTTTCAATAAAGATGAACAATGAACAATAGATTGCAGTATCTGAGAGATCCAAGGTTGTTTCGTTAACGACGACGACGATATCGACGTTAGTTTCATGAAGGATATAACCCAATCTATTTTGCTCACTGATTCAAGTTGTTATATCAAGTTATCGTTTTCGGATACGAAAGGCTCAGTTCCGAAGGCAGAAATAAAAATTGAATTTGAGGTTTTAGCAGTTTTTCTGACCACTGCTACTAGTATGCTTTCCGTTCTAAAAAATGCACTATGCAGTTTTGTTTCAAACACCAATTGAAACATCAACAATCTTTGTTGAATTGCAACTTTTGCCTATTCCTTCATACCAAATAAGACCTTTTGCTTTGCAGAAATCGTATGCTTCTCAAAAATAAGACCATTTCTCGTATCCTTTATTTCCTCAAGTTAAACCAACAATGAGTGATGCGAAGGCAGTTACAATGAAAAGTTGTTGCCGAGGCGCTGCACTTGTCGTAGTGGCTATCTTTGATGATGTTAACGGTGCTCTAAAGAAATCCTTTGCATCCTTCCTCAAAATTCTTTCCATCAGTTTTACCTGATTGTTGTGGATCGAGTAGTCCTTCTGCGTCTCGTAACTGTAGTGGTGGTTGACGTATAATTCATTCTTGCAATTCCAAGTCGTTTTCTTCCGAAGTCGAGCGATATGCAATGACTCTGTATAAATGGAGCTCCGAATGACCACTGATAGTCAAGTTGAACATCGCGCCTCATATGCTTCATCGCCAACATGCATGTAGTGTCGTTGTCATTCTGTCATAAAAATTAGAAGTTAGGAAAGATTGAAGACATTTCGCAGACAACTTTGACCTTGCGCTCAAAAAGTTTTCATGAAACGGAAAAGAAGTTGTCGCGTGTATCAAATCAAGATGTATGTGTCTGAATCCAATTATTCTAGTTTACCCTCAATATAAGTTCCTCCGAACTTATGTAGTAGCTCATTGAGCCAATCTTGATTTCCAAATCCGGAAATGTAGCGTTGCAGTCTATCCAATAGAAACCCTCGTCATACTGCAATTGCAAAGTTACAAGAGCTGCTAGAATTCATTTCTTATGTTGCCTTTACATATGCTCCTAAAACACTTTGTCTGTATAACCCAAGCCAGATCTTATACTTCAATATGAGAATGATTCCTGCACCGCTTACATTTGCAAACGTCTTTCTTTCAACTTTTTTTGAACTATGAAGGTGGAAATTGGCAAATTGCTCTTAGTGAATGTGCTGCCTAGAACCACGATGCTCGTGGAATGATATCTACAACTTCTCGAATTTTCAGCTGTTAAGGAATAGTTGTACTCGGCAAGGAAACACCGTATAACGAGGACTGCTCATTGAAGTCTTCTTACTTTTAACTTCATCGTTCTCAAATTATTGTCATAAAAGCCAAAATTTAGTAGATAATGTAGAGGCTTTGTATGTGATAATACATTGTTGTATGATATAAATCTCCTGTGTCTTTAACACTTCTATTTTTTGCACTAATCGTCTTCAAAAGGCTAATATCAATGCCTAACGCTAGCAGATGACAACCTAGTGCTCTCGGAAATATTTTTATTGTTTCAAGTTGTGATTCCTCCGCTACGAATGGGTAAATACCTGGGTGAATACCAAATAATACCCTACCTCTGCTCCAGCAGTGATGGCAAGTTGAGCTATGATGTAGTATGGACCAATGATGAATTTATGCAAATCCGGCACTGCTTCAAATTTCTTAGGCCAGTAAATCCTTCCCAAGGAGATGGTTGTGATCTACAGCGAGAGAAAATGAGATTTGATTTGATTATGTACAAATAAGTTCACCTGAAATTGATACGAAGTGTACGTTGAAAAGCTGTGATAGTCAACAATAGGTGCACAGTTGTCAAAATTTTGAGATCCGTATGTAATCATTCCAGCTTCTTCCCCAGCTTCTGTTTGTGACTTCAAATACACGGTGAATATGGCATCATATAGGTATCCTGCAAAGACAGCAATACATTGATTATAGTTGTAAATACGCACTACAGATTATGGTTTGATTTTTGCGCATGAAATGGTCTAAAGTTTACACTCATGTGTATACGCGGCGCACTAGTATCCCCAACGGCTTTCTTCTCAATGATAATAGCAAAAAAATAAACAATTCCAAAGATTTTGTATCAAAGGCTGCCCGCAGCTATGAAAAATCCTACCCCGTTTTGCAACAACACAGAGTGCGGCGAAAGTCTGGAAGCCGATTTCGCAGTGCTGTCATTACATAACTACCGATAAATTTGCTTTCACCAGAAAGCTATACAGAAGTAAAGTAGCGAAAAAACTGCGTTAAAAACTGCGTAAAAATATTCGAAAGCATTTTGCTGCGCACAGTGCAGAGGAAATTTGCGCTATCACATCGTAGTAGTTGCGTTTTTCAGAAACAACTCTTCCAAAAAGTCGAACTAAAAATTTGCAAATGTTACCTGCGTGCCAGTAGCCATCTGTTTTTAGAAAAAATTCAAAAGGAATAAAAGACAGAGGCACTGAGTTCTAGGCTATATTCTTTACATGAGTCTTTTATGAAAGCATCTAATTAAATTCGACCGATGGGCAAGTTCAAACTTTTAAAATATGATTTTTCGGTTCCGCTGATGCAATCGCATCAAAATTCCTAGTAAAGTACACTTGCCTTCACTTGGAATTCCAAAATTTTTTTCCTGAATGTTGCGAAAGAATCTTGTAACATGTTGACAGAAGCTTGCTTTGCACATTTGCCTAGAGAAAGAAGCAGTTATGAGGGCGTTGGACAGATTTCCTTACCACCGCCTGAGTTCACGACAGGTGGACTCGCCATTTTTAGAGGCTGCTTTGAAGCGAAAAGAAGCAATAAAAACTGAGAGCTGCGCTGCATTTGTAAAGGCTCGAATTATAGTACCACACTTCGTTTCTGGGGTACTTTTCCTTCTGATTTTATCTGGAAAGCACTAACCTTCCAGACTCTTGCTGCACTCTGTACCTTAATTTGCCTTCAAAGGCCTTGGAAGTTTCGAGGTAACTTGTGGGATCAAGCATATTCTATAAACATGGCACTCAAAAGTCCTCAAATCCGCTGAACCTTCCCAAAAGGCCTATTGCTTCATAGTTAATCCTCATCTTTACCATAGGTGCACTATTCTACACCATGAAACTCCACTAATGAGCGTAAAGATCTGTGTTGCGTATATGCTCATAAGCCATAAGCTCAGCTGAGAAGTTATAGCAGCGAATCTATTAGCAACAAAATCACAATTTACAGTTAAAACTAGTCAATGATACATTCCTCGATGTAGCGCAGAAATTTTGGCACATTTTTGTTAGCTCCGCACTCTCGACTATTCAAACGGCTGCGCGCCGGGTCCCAAGAAGGTCATATAACTTGCGCATAAATTACTCACTGAGATCGAGACATGCACCATTCATGAGGTTTGCGAGAGAATGGAACAAATGATTATCTGATGGTGCGAGATTTGGAGAGTCCGTTTGGTACAGAAGTACCTTTTAGTGAAATCGTGCAGAACAGTTTTGACGACGTTTGCCGCATGAGGTCACGCTTGCTCATTCAGAAAAACTCACTGGATCTGTTTCTTAGGCTTTTTCCGTGGTGAGACCTGGTTCGAACGGTGCAGTCGGATTGCTTACGTATGGTTCGCCGTCGCCTACTTGTCCAGAACTTTCAGTGCAGGATGTACTGCCCGTCCCCCGAATATCATTGTTCAGGGTCACCCTGCTCAGCCCCTAGTCTTTTGAAGCAGTCGGTTCCATAATCGACAAAATGTTTGCGCAAAATGCTCCTGTTTACAAGAAAAAATGCGCAATTGTTGAAATTGCTCTTTTTGCATTTCAAGATTTCCATCTTTGGAAGCCAAAAGATTCGAGTGAACAGCTTTCCACCGAAATTAGTAAAAATTTCCAAAGAGCATAATTAGCCTTTCCCACTCATATACTCATCTATTTTCAAAGAGCATGATTAGCCTTTCCCACTTATATACTCATCTTACCGCAAATCAACCGCTCCTCAAAGAAATGAGGATGAAATGGAAAACGCTACAAAATTATGCGAAGACCAAATATAATAACTACTAACGCCATGGTGAAGCATCCTCGACAAACATAGAATTCTCTGATCATTCGATTAAATGGCAGATTGATCTTGAAGTCAATAACCTACTTGCTTTCAACTATTAGGCAGTAGGGTGTCTCAAGTAAGTCTCAATTTTTTGAACGTTACATCCCTCTTTCCCTCACCGACCTTTGCTCACCATTCTGTAAAGCTAGCTTCACCTTAGATCATAACATGGAGCAAATCACCGACTGATTTTATTTACTGACGACCATGGCTTAAAACCTTGTCGAGCAATAAAAAGACGGTTTCTTGATACCATTTTAGGTTCAATGTTGTTTTGGGTATCACCGACAATCTTTTAGGATTTACTACAACCGTGTCACATCCAAGTACACCACTTGCACAAAATACATATGGTTGACATGTGTTCCCATTCAGATCGAATAAAGATACTCATAAAGAGTTGATTTTCTGTCCATCTTCATACGCATCTCTAATTAATTTTATGATTATAGGCAGTTCATTTTATCTCTAATGCATTCTGGTCAGTTCAAGTTTATTCAATGTTAGAGACAGTTCAAAACTCGTACCAACAATAAGGACCCATTCTCTGCCATGGAAAAAGCAAGCAAAAATTACCGTCGTAGTGGCAAGTCCAGCGTCAAACTGAATAGGCATACGAAAGTTTCATTGAGTTTCCTTACTTTTATTCTTTTATTACGGCACACAACACTTCCGTCTTGTATTGTAATACTTGGGGTAAGAGTAGAGTAGACCATGGAAAACATTAGACATTTTTGTGTCAGTATTGACAAGTTGAAAAAAACTAACAACCAAGTCAACTCTTCAACGATAATTTTACTATTCAAGATAAAAAACAATCTAGCAGTCAAAGAAAGTTATTTCCTACGTTAGTCTCACATTCTAAACAACTGCCGATTGTTTTGTAGCACTACAGCTTTTTTGTAGGACCCACGAAGTACATGCATGACCCAGGAAATGACAGTATGCGAGTTAGAGATCCCATGGTCTTCGCGTTCTTTTCCTTGCGCTGAGTTCCCACAGTTCTATAACACAAGATATCCAAACTTCGAAAGCAAGTGAATCTACCATGTGGAAGCACATAGCGAAGTAGTTTGGTGGTAGTTGAAACTCGAATTGGAGTTTATGACAAATTCTTTATGTTTACGCGATGCTGCTTTGTAACATGTAGTGATGTCTTGTCTTTCCATGCAGGTGTCGTTTATTGAGAGGAAAAAAGGCAGGCAATAAAATATGCACACGAAGGCAGCATCCAATAGTGAAATAAACAGAAAACCCAGAAGTCAAATCCGTGCAATACCCTAGTCTAACTAATCGTTTTTTTTGAGTGCAAGGTTATGATAAGAAAGAAAAAAACCGCTTCGCAAGCTTGCTCACAAGTATCTCATGGACAGTCTCCTCGCCTGCACATCATAAACAAGGAGCCATGCATGGGTGTACTTTGAAGCAACGGTCACCTCTGCATTTTCCTTACTATTTGATTTCTTGCTGCCGTTGTCCATACATTCGCCCGCCATTTTTTTAGAGGATGCAAGAAGGCCTTGTTGGACCGTTCAAGTGCTGTAAAGCCTGTACTTGGGCTCATCGCGACAGTAAGAAAGGCAGACATATGAATCGTAGATCTGAACTCTGTCTATGTTTATGCAGTGAGTCATACATATAGAGAATCATACTATTTAAGCAGGACTTGAGCGTAAATACGCAGAAAAAATTGTGTCTTGTTGTTTACTCATTGTTCTCTTCCGCCACTTCTAACGGCGATTTGTCACTTTGGGACAATCGTTGTCCATTGAGCCATTTCCAACAGCAAGCAGAAAAATCAAAAAAGGTGTCATTCACTGAGAAAATATTGAATTGAAGAGGTGTACTGACTGCGCTACGATGATGGCGCTTTTGCGGTGTTACAAGAGTATCAGTGTCAACATTCACCATATGTCATTCATTGTTTTTGTTACCAATAATCCGCGTTGAATGAAGATCGCTTGTGAGTTTCACATAACAACTGCACTATGCGAATAGCCTTTGCTTGCTCTTTTCAAAGTTGAAAGTCGAAGTTCTTATCGCCAATACCAAGTCTTGAACTGTACCTAATTCTTATCGCCAATATCAAGTCTTGAACTGTACCTAACGACGAATTTATAAACTTGAATTTTAACGCATCAAAGGTAAGATGAGTTTTTAATAGTAAATCAACTTCAAAGTGGAAAAGGACAGGTATCCAAGTCTTTGCATCTGCTTGCAAACCCACGTCAACCACCAAATGTATCTGGTGCAAGTGATGTACTTGGAAGAGGCGCAATTGTAAAAGTCTCAAAATGACTTGTTATGGATACACAAAAGAATTGATTTGAGCGGTACTGATAAACTTTCTCAATAATGTCTCGAGTGGAGCAAAATATTTTTCACATTTTTTACAGGCGCTTCAGATTGCTTTGTTAGATGCCAAGAACTTTATTTGCAGCAGTAAGTTGGATATATCAAGCATCGTGAGGTGTAAGTGCTTTTCTTTATTTATCGGTTGAACTTTAATTCCAACTACACATTATTGCCTCTGAAAGAAAATTGCAAATGCCGATATGACATAAAACGAAAAAACCTTGCGATTTTTCAACAGATATTGCAATTTTTCACCACTAAAACCAACCCATGTTGGATTTATGCAGCAAATTGAAAGATCTCTACGTATATAGCGTCTCAGGCCTTTCTCAAAAACTGAATATGACTTACCTTTGCTTTTAGCTTGACTGATGAATGCCGTGCTATTGCTGCCGGGATCGGATCGAAAACTTAGTCCAAGGGCTCCATCTGGGACGTTTACCTGCGTTATTTTTATAAAATGAAACTTCAACAAACTGATAATCCTACCGTTTTATCTCCAACAGTGATATTTGTGGCCATCCCAAATGCAGTATACGGCATCACACGCATCGTTCCGCTGGTTTGATAGAGCTAAAATCAGAAGTAAAGAAGTAATTAGTTCATCAAATGTGGCATTTCCATGCAGCACTTTGGTTTAAGTTCTATAGAAGGTCAAGAACTGAGGATGGACAAAACTTTTAAAGCTATCTTTTATTATATATATCTCGAGTTTCTGTGCGGGTGACGATCTTGATTCTGCAGATAAAGGTTTTTAGTACTATGTTTATTCGTTAAGACCGGAAAGCACTTATTCGATATGTGAAACAAAAAAATTAACGAAAATGTAGAGCATGCCACTTCTTGCAAATGTGAAACTGTGGAGAATTTGGTATTTTTGGATTTATCTTCCTCTGAGATTTTTCTAAGTTCGAAGGTGTTATAATACTTACTACAATTGTATCGATTCCAAGCACGCCATTAGCGCCATATTTTTCAGACTGCCAAGTGGTTGCATCTAGCTTGAATGAACTCGATCTTGATGAATTGAATTTTTTCTTATTTTCACATGCTTCTCTAAATCAAAACTGCATCAAAGACAGCATGGATGATTTTCGATATCTAAGGTCATCATTTCCCGTCTTTGGATATAACGTCTTACTGCTGTATCGCTCTTTCAAAGCGAAGCAAGCAAGCAGATGTCACTCACGTGGTGCAGTTGATGTGTGGAATCCATAACATCGAACTAGTTGTAGTAAGCAGAACTTCGAAAGCTGGCTCCAAATAAGCAATTTTCAACTTATGGCTGTATCCGGCAAGTCCGGCATCATAGAGCTGAACTAGCATCACGGAATTTGGATCAAACCTCTATGCTCTTTTGCTTTTTTCTAATTACACAGCAGCACAAAATACACCTAGCAGAAGCCAATTTGAGCAAAAAGCTTTGAAATGCAGAGCTTACGGGGACAGTAAAACCAAGAACCTGCTGCACTGTTGTACGTACTGTAATACTTAGCGCGATGAGGACCAACCACTCCATTGCTAGAATCTGAGATATATGGATTTTGATAACCATGATAAAAACGACAATTGAGCTATAGAAAAAGATAGAAAAGAGATTCTGATGTGTGTTCATAAAAAAACTAATAAGCACGTTAATTGGTTAATCTTTATAACTAAGAATGTGTAATAAACTATCAAAAAAGTTGTTTCTTTCATTAGTCTTACACTCTTATCAGCTGTCACAAAGCTTGTTCTTTTGGAACAGCAGGTTTTCAGGGTCCAAGGGAAAAAGACATTCTAAAACAAAATAGAAATTCTATCAATATGTGTAGTTTTTCTCATCTTTTTGCATCATCTTACACAATCTGGTCATACTGGTCAATAATAACGATTTGAAGCTAAATATTAGGTTGGTTCAAAATTTTATTTAAATTGCAGTTTTTATTCAAAACGTTAAATCTTTTTTCAGAACCAACAATTTCAAGCAACTTGATTTTTTGTTGCATTGAGCACGTTTTTCCCTATCATACCAACAGTACGTTATGGAGAAAAAATGAGAGAGCGACGAGCAAAAATTTGAAAAAAAAATTCAAACCGTCTAAACACATATTATTGATCTTCACTAACGATAGGCAGACACATTTGGTAGCTAATATTGAGTAGCACGGCTCGGCACAGCTGGCACAGTGTCAAGCTGGATGTCGTTTTTGGACAAAAATCAAAGCGACTTTTGATTTGTGGCCGAAGAGACACATAAATTGCGACGTTCTTCTTAAGTCGATGTTTCGTATTTTCAAGGGATTTTTACGTTCTTCAAGGTCAAAGTTAGGTTTAAGGTATAAGAGGACTTCATACGAAATTTTCAAGGTCAAAGGAACTTCGTTTTTCAAACCCTGGTCCGAGCCCTGATTCGGCGTCTACAGTGCCCCTTGTAGGTATGTGCCAGACTTTTTTGTCGAAGAAGCTACTAAATGCGTGCCAACCTGTCACGGTTGGAGGCGTTGAGAGGCATTAGCTTTGTCGTTGGCTTTGTCCACCCATCGTTCGTCCGTCTTTTCGCCTCGCATGAGATCCTGTCACCTCATAGCCATCTTACATCAGAAGACCGTCAGCTCATTAACTGTTACTCCCAACGTCAGCAGCTAACGAATCAGAGCTAGGTGCTTCTTACAAAGACCTGGAGGAGGTATTCCGCAACAAGAAGTCATTCCACAAGTTTATTACGGGCGACTTCATCGGAAAATCGGAAGGCCATCTGAAGAGGAGTTTAGAATCGGGAAGAAGGGGTTTATAAATATGGGCTCCGGAACGACGCTGGTGGACAATGGGAATCGCCCAAGGAAACGGCTTACGCGGAGATTGATTACATTCTTTACCAATCAAAGGTGTCTCATTAGGTCATTCTTTCTGGCTCTGATACCGTCTCCTTCGAGCGAAGGTACCATTTAGTCGAAAGCTAAGAAAGAAGGTCTGCCGCTGTGTCGCAAGAAGGAAGGAGTTGGTTATGAGGCGAAAAGGCTGAAAAATCTCATACTAACTTGACTGCTCCATCGAGAAGGACACAACGTACGACTAGACCGGCTCTGAAAGGACTGCGACTCTGCGGAGAGTGCGTTTCATGACTTTCGACAAGAAAAATGCAATTCGAAGACCACCAAGGAATTGCTCGAAAGAAGAAGATTTCTGAGGCGGGATCCGAATACAATTTATCTCGAGTGACTGATAGCCAACGCCAGCTATAGAACAGCTTTGCAGAAGGATCTCAGGAAGTACAGGCAAGCTAAGAATGGAAGCAGCCGAAGGAAGACGCTTACAAAGTGCTAAAGGGGATTCGCGCATATCACGTGCCACTGGCTGCACTACTGAACGAAGACGGAACTTCGATTTCTTCCGGGTATAAGATGGAATCTACCGCGAAAAACTTAACATCCGGCTATTGTAGAACGTCAAGAACCGTCCTTCTCTACCGAGTACCGACTGCCTCTTGTCTTAACCTTTGTCGACGCTGTCAGCGCTAGTCGAACAAGGAGTGAACCCAGCTTACGTGAGGACCTTAGCCGCCTGCTACAAGGACTGCACAACGACGACGCAGCTATAATACCGCTCATAATTCGTCAAAAAAGTCGGCGCACTCCAGTGGAGTGCCCCACAGTGCGCTGCAGTGCGCCGGAGTGCGGCGGAGCGCGCCGCACACCGCTGCTCTTCGGAATCCGCGTCGCCATATCTCGCTTTAGAATAGAAGTATTCTGATTATAAGGGCACCGTTCGACTCAGCTTGGCTAGGGGCATCATCTGATATATAGACGTGCTACAATCTGTCGGGGTAGGTAGGTAGATTGTTACCAGTAAATTTTCGCTCAATTTTGCAAATTTTTCTTTGATTGTATTGTCCAGTGTGCTGATAACAATAATGCCATTGATTTGCTGCTGATGGCACATCGTAGGGATATGTAGGAGCATGGTAGAGAGTCACTCTGATGAATTCGTTTGAAATCGGCTCAACGTACACTACCGCTTACCGAATCTATAGGATTTCAGTGAACGTCGCGGAAATCCAGGAATTCCACGAAAGTTTGCGACTTTCCCGCGTCATTCCAGTAATTATTTGAAATTACGGGATTCCGCGGAATAATGACGCAAACTACGCAGCACATAACTTCCTTCGGAATGAATATAATCTGAATCTGAAAACAGCATTGTGTTCAGCTCATTAAGGCAAATCTTTTGTATACAGCCTGCCCTCGATATTCCGTTTTCAGTTTTCTCAAATTCTTCTGCGAAGGTCCTTTCGCATAGATGTAACAGAGCGCTTAAGCAACATAAAAGATTCCAGAAAGTACCGTTCGATAGTACTGTTCTTGTAGATTATCGTGCGTTAATTAGTATGGTGCTGCGTAGTTTGCGTCATTATTCCGCGGAATCCCGTGATTTCGCGAAATTCCTGGAATGACGCGGGATTCCGAGAAAGTCGCAAACTTTCGTGGAATTCCTGGATTTCCGCGACGTTTACTGAAATTCTGCAGATTCGGTGAGCGGTACTATACGTTGAGCCCGATTTCAGAACAAATTCATCAGGGTGACTCTCAGAGGTAGTTTCTTAATAGCTTAAAAACTACCCGTTTTTATTTATCTGCTGTCATGATTTGTCCACGCAAGTGAAGTTGACCTTCGCTTCTTTACCCTTTTGTAATAAAAATGCTGCTCAAAATTTTTTTGTGTAAAACGTATGTAGGGGAATAGGCGTGCTTTATGTAGTAGTCCGTAATATGGGATGCCCTCACTGATAAGGTAAAACTACACTTGAATAGCTCCGTTTCAATCTTTGTATCAAGAAAACTTGCAACACATTTTGCACGTTCTGGTTTCAGTGCTTCAATGTACCCATATTAGACTGTTGCAATAGTTGCTGTATTGTTGCTTTATTTTTCAAAACAAAACTGCTTACTATCACAGTAAATTCGTTGTTTTTGTTTGTTGTTCTTTTAAAGGTTTGATCTTTATATCAAGCAGACTAAGAAATTTGTCGAAATATTGATGCAACACTTCTTTCAAATTATGAGGTAATGCAAAAATAATGGGCGCTTTTTTGCCATAGAGGCAGGGTATAAATATTCAAGGAAGCTTGCCAGTTGATAGAGCAAAGCAAGATTTACAAAAAGGAGATTCGCACGATATCTGAACCATCTGAAGTTTGAAGTAAATGATACATAACACAAACCTTGAGAAGAACGGACTTACAGCTTTGTATATGCTTTAGTTTCTAAGAAAAATCGAAAACCCGAAAAGTTTTGCATTTCTAAGCCATTTTGTATTGCTCTTTGTCAGATGATGCTTGACCCATTCATTTCATTGTAAAAGCCTGAGTTTCTTTTTCATTGCTCTTGTTGCCATGTTATCGTTCCTTCAAAATGCTTCAATGTTATTTTTTGTTTTCGATCAAATATTATCATGAATATTGGTCACTTTTTCATCTACTACTTGTAATCTATATCGCCTTCTCTTATATCTCTTAGTTCTATTATTTGTGTATATTATTTCTTTCATTCCTATGTCTGCCGAATTTTGCTACCCGTACTCGCTTATGTATTTGCATGATATATATGTACTTGGAGACTACCCTGTTCCTTCCGCACTAATTCACATTCTCATTTGTACGCAAATTCAGTCTCAATAAAACATACTGATCTTTACAGCATAGTCTTTTTGTTCTTATATGGCCTTTGCGTAGAACAGTGTACAGTGCATTTCCTTCTCTGATGAGGATACTCGCTGTCTGCGAGCATCTTGAGAAGTTGCACATAAAAGGAGCGGTTTAACTAAAAGCGGAAAACTAGTATCCCAAAATGAAGTCTGATACGGGAGAAAGAAACGGATCAGGAATCAAAAGCAAAAGTCGCAATGTGTTGCGGAACCCCGAACAAAGTGCTGGGGAAATCTCCTATTTTCCAGCATTTTAGCAGCACTTCATTGCAGAAATTCCGTAGCACTTTTACAGCTTTTTCGCAGGTGTCTCAGGGAAAACGCTGCGAAAGTGCTGCAAAAATTTCGAATAATTGTTAAAGGCTCAAGACTTTTTTCAGTTTATGGGTAATGATAGTCGATCTGTTGTTGCACCTCCCAGATAAGATCGCACTCACCTTGAGTTGAGTGATGTAGGCAAAATTTGTGTTTAGTTTGAACTCAATGAAAACTGCACGCAATGAACAAAAAAAGCTCACAGACATCTTTATAACATACGATATTATTCAACATGAATGAATGAATGGCTCGCTTATGGATATGTTAGAGAATTCATGTGATATTCTCAATTATCGTTCGACATAAAACATGTTCACATATAGAATGTTAAGTATGCGTTGTTTGAATGACGCGTTCGCGCTGCATTCGCGTTGCGACCACACGCGCGCGCAAACGCGTCAGCACAAACATCGGAACATGGCAGGACTTGCCTGCTTGAAATACGAATTATATGGCTTAATAGACGACCATGCTACCGCCGTAGCTGCTGTGCGGCTGCTGCTGTTGATGCTCTCACTGCTGACGACATTGGAATACTGTATACATGAAAAGAAACGCGCTTAGAGATCATGACATTGTAATGCTTACGAACGAAGCGAAGTGGCAAGTGTATATGGATACGGTAACAATACGATAGGATTACGCTAGGTGATATACGGTATTGGTATGACTGACTATTTGGAAATTGATATTAGTGCGATATGATACGAGAAGAAGAACCACCGAGTCAAATTTGCACAAATCAATCGATGACGATTGAAATCGACTTGAGATGGTGACGTCACTTTTCCGATTTGAATGGTGATTTTCAGAGTATCAGCTGGTCCAAGTACAGCAGATCGGCGTTCGGATTTGCACGCTTCCCGAATCGAACGTAACTGGAGCGCGTTTTCTGCGGCGTTTTGTCGCTGTGACGAGCCTCCCGAGTCGCTGAAAAAACCATTTTTGTGAAATTTTCATGCAAATTTGTATGCATTGGAAACTGTGTCTTTTTTGCTGTGGTTTTGCAACGTTGCTTAGATGGATGGGTTTTGTAACTTGAAACGCTGGTATAACGAGGACATTTAAATCAATACCTAACGCATAGAAATTAGAACTAAAACATGCTGATAATATGAACAGAAATAGAACATGATGTTGTAAGTGCTAGCAGATAACCATATTACAGGACCAAATTCTTGACTATAACTAAAGAGCTGTGATCTTCGTTAGCGCGATTTGCGCACGACTTTCCTACTGCCGAGGAAAAGCCTTGCGCTAGTCGCGCTTTTCCTAAGCCTTACCGCAAATCAGAATAAGTTTCAAAAAAATTATTCGTCTTTCCCTTTTTCTCGCTTGTAACTTATTACAGTGCCAAGTTATGCGCTACTCAATCCTATAACGTGCGAAAGTCGCGTCTAGTGCTTCCACAGTGTGCAACACACAACTTGCTACCAAAATCCGCACATTTGCCCATCAACAGAATCATTGGCATATATCGCGTGTAGTATAGAAGAATACCTTCTGAAGGACCCTTTGGTTTGGCCACGGCAACGTAGACAAACAACGCAAATATCAAAGCGAACGTGAAGAATCGCATTGTGTGTACCTGAAACTTCAATCAATAACGATCAATATATTTTCTGTCGGTTGACGCTTGACGCCAAGAGAAAATCGATTATGAGCCAATGCAATGTTTTTTGCTGTATAAGGAAAACTCCATGAGAAAAAGGGTTCTCGCTTGCAAGTATAGAATTATGTTTATTAATGTCTGCATTTGCAGAAATCTTTGAAACAGTGACGAACCGTTGAGAGAAGTACGTAACAGTAAACGAGCGAGGAACTTTTGTAAGCTATTGCATTGAAATTGAAAGAAATAATGTTCACGTAAACAGACTTCATAGTGTGTTTAAAATATCAACAAAGAGCAGCATGACTTCACAAGCAGGAGAGGACCAGTTCTCGTTTTACTTTAATCATCAAAACAGTGACCAACAGTTGGTATACAGTATGAGAGTTTTTCTTGGGAAGTACAAAGATGGGAACGAAACCAGGAGAAGGGCAACAAGAAGAGTAATAAAAAGCAAAATGAACTCCATTGTTTGCGAAAAAAATTATTGTAAAAATTTCATATGGTGTCCACTTTTTTAGCTTATTTTATATAAAGATAACTCTCTTACAAAGCAGTATGGGATCAAAGGGAAGGATGGAGTAGAAGCTAAACGCTCCTCATCAAAGCGCAAGTAAAAATCTCAAGTAATGGAGAAGTTTTTTCATATTCAGACAAAAACGATTTCTCAAAACAGAATAAATAGTTTTCAATAGCCTTAGTCGTGAGCAGATTGCCTTTGATATTTCCACGATTTTCAATCACTTTCGTCCAAAACATGTGAGCCCTTTGTTTATGGTAAGAGAGGTTTTGGGAGAGCGTAGAAGTCAAATTTCTCGGTTAGAAAGAGATAAAAGAAGCTTGAAATCATTCAATTTTATATGGGTAGTCAACATTTTATCAGCTTTCGTGAAGAATCCTTTGAATTTCGAATCGATGGGCTATCGGCTTCTGTTTCTTATCTTTGAAATAATTTGTTAGCCTGCAATCACATAGCTTTTAAAAACTGGAAGGCGAATAAACTAGCGAGTTTTTTTTTTGGAACAAGAATGCAAACGATAACAGTGAATCTCAGAAAACTGAAAAATTTCAAAAGTTTGCTTTTCTACAAAGATTAAAATTTTTCTAGTGTTGCAATTTTGAAAAAAATTACGATGCTATCGAAAAGAATTTTACAGAAATCATACAGTATGATAGCCAAATTTTTCTTAATTCCCGACTGATTTTTCGGTAAGTTTTCCTTATCAAAACGTAGAATGGCACTAATGTCTTCTTTAGTGGAATTCCGTTACGAAGCAACTAATGTGTAAAAAAAGTTTCGCATTAGACTGCTTCAGATGCTTATTGGAGCGGAAGCACAGTTCTTCCTCATGCGAGATTCCGCAAGGGAAAGAAAAAAAAACCAAACTGGTAGGCTAGCATCGAATGACAAGATTGTTCTAAAGACAGTTCTATGCAATTCTGATAGAAATAAAGAATTTGATGGTGATGTGTTGGTTAAGAAAAAGAAGAAATTGATTGATTAGATGAAATGAGTATGCAGGACAAAAGCGAAAGCCTAAACCAATAAGAACTAGTTCATCATCGGGTTTCACCCCCAATCTCTTTACACAAGAGTTGTTGAACGAGACGTTAGATGTCTGGATGACTTAGCTACCAAAAAAAATTGAGGACATGACATACTCTAGTACCTTCCTCTTTGCTCCTCTTTCTTCCCCTCCCTCTTGAGTCAATTTGTCCAGAATGTTCCAAGCAAGGAAAATGCATTGTACAAACACCTTGGATTCAAGATTGGATGCCCTAGAGATAAGGCTTTACGAGGCAGTTTTTTTTATTTCTTCAGTTATATTTTTCAGACCAGTTTCTGACTTGAGAGCGTCATAATGAACCCGAGACTTAAAGAAGGACGAATGAAGAAAAATCTAATATTCTAAAAGTGAAGTGATAAAGCTGACAGTAACAAAGTTTCAACCTAGAAAGATGATTGCTGCGTAAAGACTAAAGCATAGTTTTTGCATTTCAAGCTATACACTTATTAGTGTCTACTCGCAAAAGAAGGAACTGAAGTGGAAACAACAAGTTGCCTGGTCTAGACTTACAAGAAAACTTCACCTTATGTAGAGGTGATAATTTCTTTTATTAAGAATTCTGCAAAGCCATTTCCACAACAATCTGATAACTTAGTTCCTGGTGCCAAATTAGATTTATTTTAGAAGATATAAGAGAGAAAAAAATTCAAGTAGGAACAATGAGGGATGTCAAAGAACGAACAAATGAAATGCTGATGTTGTTGATGGTGCTGGTAGTGCTGGTGTTGCTGGAGTTGCTGGAAGTGCTGGTGTTGCTGGAGTTGCTGGTGGTGTTGCTGCTCCCACTACAGCAGCAACATTACTAACACCACTCATCATCAGCACCACCTAACAACACCAGCACTACCAGCAACACCAGCAACACCAGCAACACCAACATCACCAACATCACCACCAACATGGTGATGATGGTGGTGGTAGCGTTGATGGAGGTGTGCAACGCGTGCATTCCCATGGAATTAGGCCAAGTTGAATGGCTAGTTTTCGTTTGTGTCAGAGTACACGCAAAAGTACACAACGAACACGTAGTCGTCTGTGCAAAGACAAACGTTCGACCCCTTCGCCCCCCGACACCTTCACACATGGATCGAACGATGATCCATGGATCGGACTGGTCAGACCTAGATTAGGACTTGTGTAGAATAATGCATGAGCCTTTTCAAGGAAAGCTGCTCAAAAGTGGACTTTTTTGTCCAGCAGTTGATCTACTGTTGTACGGTAAGGTTAGAGTAGCAATTCGTTTTCTTTGTGCATAAAATTGTTTTTACGACCAAGCACAAATTTTCATCTAATTCCAGAACTTCGCAGTAATAAGGATCCTCCTACTTGATTCGAAAGGGTTGTGAGGTGTCCCACATAAGTTTTGTATTTACGCCAGTGATTCTAACTGGCTAATAAATCACTTTTAAAATTGGAAAAATGAGAGTAACCTTTTAAATTATCTTCTCCGAGATGGGAGACTGTCCCTTATGTAGCATCAGCACATGGTATCGTGATGATTATCCAGAAATTTGTAAATCTCTAGCATCTACGAATCAGCCTCACATCTGCAAGATTTTGCAGAAGCAACACATAGTAAGCAGTCTACCAAATTTGACTATCTCCAGAGATGCCTTTTCGCTCATTTTTACCTCATGCTTGCCATGAGGGATGACTTCTCCATCTAGCCATGGACAGTTTGATTACAGAAAAATATCTAAACAAATATATCGTAAAATTTTGAATAAGCCAGTCATTGTTCCAATATGCAAAGCTGCATTTAAGGACTATTCCTCTTAAGAATATAAATACTTTACGGGAACGGAACCAAGCCTGAATGCAGAAGAATGTCCGGCTTTTGCTTCCTTGAAGCTTCCAAAATTTGCGAAAATTTCAAAATACAAACTCTCTAAGATTAAGCGTAGTAATAACTGCATTGCCTACGAAGCCCTTGGACGATTACTGTAAGTTGAGTTCTTTGCCTGCTTATAATGCAACTTTTTGAACTTTCACATAATGAAGCCCTTGCAAGGCAATTCTAGATATTACTTCCTCTTAATCCTTTGTTTGCAAGACTACCTTTTGTTTTCGAGGCCTTAAACCAACTCGTTAAATTCAGAAAAAAGTTGGTCTGCGTTCTGTGGCTCAGTTGTTAGTAAACCTCACAAACTACCACATCAAACAAACCTTTGGTGGATGAAGACATACGGTAGGATTACGGTAGTGCGCGCTAAGAATTAAGAGCATGAATTTCTAGTAACACATGCCAATTGATGGGAAATAAAGCAAATAATAACCAGCAGGTATTTTTTGAATTACGACTAATTGCTCATTCTACAGTTGAAATTTTCAAGAAGATAATCGTAATAGCGATCAAAAGAGGGGAGTAATAGTAGTAAATCAAAAAAAAAACGTAATGCAGAGAATTTTTCTATCCGAATTTTTGCAGCTATGTATTAGAAAGTGATTTTTGAGAATATATAGCGTAGTGATAGCACTGTAAGCCAGACATTTGAAACCAAAGCTGCGTAGTTTTTCTTGTCAGGACCACGTGAGTATAAGCAATTTTTGTTCGGTTTACGCTACCCGTAAACTTTCGCATCTGGGAATCTAAACGCAAAAACTCCGTTTTGTTACTTTTTTCGCTCAGAATGTCCTAGATATTGGCTATAGGCCAAAATCTGCAGACTGTTGATTTACGTCAACATTTCAGCAAAAAAAAGTCAGGCCAAATCAGGGAGTAATTTCTCAGCTTGAAAAGGAAATGTTTGTTGATGAACTCATGAAATTCACCGAACGGAGAGCCCCCGCCCTGCCCCCCCCCCCTCTTCCTCTCCGCTTTCATCAACGATGAATAACAGCAAAGGAATTTGGCGTCACACGCTGTTTTCATGCGCTAGTTACGACTTTTAGAGATAAGTGGATGACATTTCTTCTGGAGAAGTGGCGCAACGGGCTAATGGTAGGGCTTTGGACGAGTTATCGCGCCGATAAGCTGAATCACTTTTTGTTAAAGTTGGCTGACTGACATACGCTGAGAGATTACATCGGTGATAGGTAATGTTGTGTCATAACCGTTAGGCAAATTAGATTCATGGAGTCGTGCCAAAAATTGCTCAAAATTTTTAAAATTCTTAGTGTTTATAAAATGATCTGTTAGACAGTAAGATGCACAGTAAACAGAGGCGTGGAAGAAGTGGTGGTAAACTAGTGTCGCAGTTATGGTGTGATTGCAGAATATGCACCCGATATGCATTTTCAGGTCTGCCACTGTACCAGGCGTATAATGGCAATATCCAAAATGACGTGAAAATTAGTCCGATAAAAAAATTTGTTGGTGGCAGAATACCGGAGTGGGGGTCTTCAACGCAATCAATTAATAGGCAAGACTAAATATCATAAATAAAATTTGAAAATATCTAGCAAGCAGATACAGCATGAT